CCCTAGTGATTGTATCATATTATCTCCTCTCTCGCTCAGCCCACTTCTCTTCCACGTCGATCTGGCCGATAGTTATCCATGCGTTGTCGCATCTATACTCTGAACACCTGTTGATGTATCCCAAGAGTCCCCCCTCAAAGCGTATGTGTGGTAGAGCATACTGGTAGTCGCGGTATGTTGTAGGTGGGGCCCTCGAGGATGCGCCCCGGTGGCCTTCGTGATGATCCTTTTTCCCCTTTCATCGCCCTGCAATAATGTACCAGTCCGTGCTTCAAAACGCACTTCCCATGACGATGTCAGTGCGCGCTCTCACTGGTGGCCGCTGGATGAGCTGGCCGTCGTCGTCTCGTCCGACTTGGGGTAGGCGAACTTTTCCTCGAAGAACTCGGCGCCATCCAGCAGGGTCTGCGCGCTGTCTAGTAGCTTATGTCGCTCTTTGCGCCTTTGTTCACTTCCTTCGGGTCGAGCTTGTCCTCGTTGCTCAGCTCCTTCATGGCGACCTTCATGACATGGTGGAGGTGTCTTCGTCGTTCCTCGAATCTTCAGCACCAGCTCGCACCAACTCTGCAGCGCAATGAAGGCCTTCTTCCCGGCCCTTTCCGACGCGTCCACAAGATACCTTGCGATGAGATCGCAACCTTTTACCTTGTGTGTAAGCGGGAAGGCCGTGGGCATCAGCTCGAGAAGCCCCTCTGGGCTAATTTTCTGGGCGGCGTCGTAAAACTTGTAGTGGCACTCCTTGATGGCGTCGTCCAGCTGCCGCGGCAGCCTTTCCGCTACGAGCGCTTCCCAGCCATTTCCCACCTCGAGCTCCACCACCATTGGCGGCCCATTCTTGAACGGGGGGAACTTCGCCTTGCACCCGATGTCTGGCCACCCCTCTCAGACATCGCCGAACGCGCTCTTCATCTTGTCCACCCACTCTTTCCATCTTTCCATGAGCTCGTCGTCAGGGTGGTTCTCTTGCGCCTGGACGAGCTGCGACCATGTCCACTTGCACCAGAACTGCCACGTGTCCCCTCTCGAGTAGGCGCTGGAACCTTTCCACCACATCTTGCTTGGGAAGGCAAACCCGCACGAGCAGGCGACGCCCATCTTTTCATCCCATCCTGTGTTCCTCCTGCATACGTTGGACAGTTGCATGTTGTCGCTCCACTTGTCCACGAAATCCAGCGTCTTGAAGTACGCCGACTGTTTCCCCCCTATGTTCTTCGCCGTCTTGTAGTCGCCCACATCGTGCAGCTCGTTCTCTTTGTTTCTCAAACTCTGTGTTTGCTGCTTTCAGTGCTTCTTCGTCATTGATTTCCATGGCCATGTACTTCTTGAGCAGGATGTCGTATTCCTCGGCGCATCGTAAAGCCTCTGTCATGCTTTCTCCTGCTGAACTAAAGTGCTGCAGCGATGCCAATATTCATTTTGATACCCTGCAGCAGTGCCTTTGCCAGCTCCTTTGTGTTCTGTAGGGACAATTTGTCCTTACATTGCGAGACTTTTTCTTTGGGTCTTCCTCTTCCGCCAGGAGCGCTTTCGCCGCTTGAGTCTGTCCCAAGGATTGGGCCGCCCACACGGCTCCTTTTGCTTTCCTCTTCTGTTCTCGGCAGACCTGCTATTTCGAAATATACTGCTGTCCTCCATGTAGCGTCTAGGAGGAGGAGAAAAAGAGAAGAGAAGAGACGAGAAGATAATGTACTATACGAGAAGGGAAGCGAGGAGAAGAAAAGAGAAGAGAAGAGAAGAGAAGAGAAGAGAAGAGACAAAAAGAAAAGGAGAAAATTGGGCGGCCAGCCAGGGGGGGGAAGTGAGAAGGGGGCGGGCCTTCTCAGAAGGTTCGGAAGTCCCCTGGCATCCCGAGAACTTGTTGAAAGCCTTCCCCGAAGACGCAGAAGACCTCACAAAGGTCGGAGGGCTTCTGAGAAGTCCCGCCGCCTTCTGAGCGGGCCTTCTCCTTCTGAGAAGTTTTGTGAGCCTTCCCCGAAGACACCGAAAACTTCTCAGAAGGCCGGAGAGCTTCTGAGAAAACCCGCCCTCTTCTGAGAGGGCCTTCTCCTTCTCACTTCCCCCTGGGCGCGCTGCCGAATATCCGCCAAAATCGGTCCCCAGACCCCTTCCGGGGTCCATCCGACAAGGTTTTTTACCCCGAATCGAGTTTCGGGGGTCCTGGGGCCCGAGGGCGCCCCCCCGGGGCCAGACGCGGTGAAAAAACCGTGTCGGACCTCGAACCTCGAAGTTCGAACCTCCAAGTTCCCCCCCCCCCTCAGACGAGGGCGGGTTTGCTAAGAAGCTCCCTGGCCTTCTGAGAAGGTTTCAGTATCTTCGGGATGGCTTGCAAAACTTCTCAGAAGGCCGGAGGACTCGCAAGCCTTCTGAGAAGGCCCGCCCCTTCGCACTTCCCCCCAAAACTCGCCAACGACCGATCTCGCCAAAGGAGGAACCCGAAACGGAATTGCACCGCGACCGCACAGACTGTCTTCCCCAACCATCCCGTGATGTTGGGCCCTCGTCTTGAGTGCTCAGCGCTGGGCGTCTCCTGCCCACCCCCTCACCTCTCCCGCCCCCATCCCCCTCCTCATCAACCTCATCCTCGTTACCACCATGGGCATCAGCATCAACATACGCCCGTCATCGCCATCATCAGCATCAACGAACTCGTCATCATCAACCACATCTGCTCCAACATCGATGATCTCGGCACACCACTCACACGTTCCGTGGCCCTAACAAGAGCCCTGTAGCTCCACCAAAGGCTCCCGTGGAAGTGTCCGCATGACGTCGCCCCTCAAACGTTTCGCGGGTCAATAGGGCGCTCCAACGAATGCCACAGTGGAGATATCAACATGGTGTCCCCTCGCTCGTTTCGGTACACACACATACACTCATTTGGTGGCCTTCGGGAGCTCCACCGAAGGCCCGACTGGAGATATCCATACCGCGTCGCTTCGCCCTTTTCGGCAGAGCCCTCACACGAATCGTGGTAGCATGAGGACAAGGCCTCAGTGGAGATGTCTGCATGATGTCACCCCACCCATTTCAGCACACTCTTCACACGTTTCGTGGCCCTGTAGGGAGCTGCACCCAAGGACCCTGGGGGAGACGTCCGCATGGCGTCGCCCCCGTTCATTTCGGCACACCCCTCAAGCCTTCCGTGGCCCGATGGCGAGCTACACCCAAGGCCCCAGTGGAGATGTCCGCATGGCCCCGCCCCACCCATCTCGTCACGCTTCGTGGCCCCATGGGGAGCTCCACCGAATGCTCAAGTGTGAACGTCCGCATGGCGTCACACCGCTCCTTTCGGCACACCCCTCACGCGTTTGTAGTCCCATGGGGCTCCAGGCAGCAGGGTCCTCACGGCGTCGCCCAGATCATTGTTGCCCACACACGCACACACACACACACACACGCACACACACGCACACACACACACACACACACACACACACACACACACACACACACACACACCTCGCACGTCTCGTGGCCCCTCGGGAACCACCGCCGAAGGCCGCAGTGGGTGTGTTCGCATGGCGTCCCCGCGCCCACATTGGCAAACACCTCGCTCGCTTCGTGGCCCGGAGGGAGCTCCACCCATGGTCTCAGCGGGCGCGGTCGCGTGTCGCCTCCGCTTCGTTTCGGCGTACCCCTCGCTCGCGTCGTGGCCCCCGTCCGCACTGCCCACGGCTCCATGCCTCTCGCGGCGAGTTACCTGAGGACAGCGTCATATCCTGCATTCCTCGCGGCCGAATAGGATTGGTCATTTACCAGGCTCATCTTGTTTTTCATTCGAGTAATCCAGGAGTCTCGCGTACGTATGATGAAACTACGCCCGCTGGGAGAAACGACACACATAGACCAACTAACTACCGTGTCCTCGCCTGTTAATCGCTCCAACAAAGATGGCAATGAGTCATGATGATTGAAGGCGTGCTGAGAACGCCTCACCTCCGAGACCAAGCGGGCTTCTGCTTCCTTAAGCAAATGCGTCTAGCGTCCATAATACTCGAGTGCCCAGCCTGGGGATTGGGGGCCATGTGGCAGAAGAGGACAATGGAGTTACCGTTCTTGGGGTGCACCGTGCCACCTCGACTGACGTCTGCCAAGATTTCGCCTGCTCGAGCCAGCGACACCGGCAGCGCTTCTTCATCGTAAGACTGCGCCTGCTCTTCTCTGCCCCCCTGCCAAGGAGGCGAGGCCCATCCCCCAGTGGGCAGAGTAAGCCCGGCTCTGAGCATGGCGCGCGATGCCCACGGGGACTCGAAACGTCGGGCAGTCGCTCAGGGTTCCTCCTCCCTCCCTCCTCCTCCTCCTCCGCCTCCTCCTCTGTCCTCCTCCTCCTCCTCCTCCTCCTCCTGCTCCTCCTCCTCCCCCTCCTCCTCCTCCCTTCTCCTCCTCCTCCTCCTCCTCCTCCTCCTTCTCCTCCGCCCTCCTCCCTCCCTCCCTCCCTCCTCCCTCCTCCTCCTCCTCCTCCTCCCCTCTTCCGCCGCCGCCGCCGCCCCGCCGCCGCCTCCTCCTCCTCCTCCTCCTCCTCCTCCTACTCCTCCTCCTCCTCCTCCTCCTCCTCCTCCTCCTCCTCCTCCTCCTGCTCCGGCCGCGGGGACCCGAAGCAGCCCGCGGGGGCGCGGGCACGGGACAGACTCGGCGCCTCGCAGGCCACAGGGGAGGGGCGACAGGAAGCACGGCTGCGAGACGGTTGCCGGGAGCGCGCGCAGCCCGAGCGCGGGCGGAACAGCAGGGACGCGCGGCCGATTGCGCGGGCGGCGCCTTCCCTCGAAGAAGAAGAAGAAGAAGAAGAAGAAGAACACGACATAAACATCAACTTTTGGCGCTCAGCGCGGATTTCTTGGATCCGCGGTGCCCCCCCCCCCCCGGCTGCGCCTGGGGCGCCGCCCCTGGCGCGCTCCGCGCGCCAGGGAGGGGGGTCCAGCGCGGATCCAAGAAATCTGCGCGGAGCGCCAAAAGTCTATGTTTATGCCGCTTTTTGTTCTTGTATTCCCTCTCCCGCCCTCCTGCAGATCGGCATGGCCCGGGTGACCGTCCAGAGCCTGCATGAGCAAGGCCGGGGCGCCCTCCTCCAGAGCCTGGGCGGAGAAAGAGCAGCCGAGAAAGGGGAGAAGGAGCAGACGCCGCGACGCTCTGGCTCTTCTCGAGTGTGCCTGGTCTTCTTCTTCTTTTTCTTCTTCTTATTGATATCATTATTATCACTAGTATTCGTATTATAATTGTTTTTATTCCTCCTCCTCCTCGTCCTCCTTCTTCTCTCCCTCCTCCCCTCCTCTTTTCCTGTTTCCGGCGTCTGAGCCAACTCCTCAACTCCAAGGGAGGCTCCTGCTGCACTACGGGGCGGGCCATGTAGAGGTCACTGACGACGTCGAGCCTTGCCTGACCCTCCTCTCTTGCCCTATCCAGCCAACAACTGCATCCCCTACATATGGAATCCCGTCGTCCTCCTTCTCCTCCTCCTTATAAATAACTCGTCCCTGTGACGCCTCCAGACGTGTCGGTAGGGCGGGCCAGGCGTTTTGCTGGAGACTTCCTCAAAATGTATGCTCCTGCAGCTTGAAATTTGCGCCAGTTGCACGGCTGGAGGGCGGACCGTTTTCAAAATGCGGCTCTCGCCATAGCGCCGCGCACATGGGTCTTAAAAGTTTGCAACAACTTCGCGGATGGTGGGCGAATCTTTCTGAAATGTGGCTCTCGCCTGAGCGCCACGCACATTCGTACCCAAAATTCGCAGCAACTTCACGGATAGAGGGCGGGCCGTTTTCAACATGTTGGTCTCGCCTTAGTACCGTGCAGATTCGCATTGAAAGCTTGCAACAGTTTCACGGATACGTAGAGGGCAGGTCATCTTCAACATGCGGCTCTCGCCATAGCGAGGCGCGCATGTGCATTCAAATGTTGCCACAGCTTCACGCATGGAGGGCGGCTCCTGTTCAAAATGTGGCCCTCACCTTAGCGCCGCGAGCAATCGTACTCCATGCTTGTAGCCGTGTGGAGGATTCGTATGGTTGAAGTTCCAGGAACGGCGTTCTGGCATGACTTGGGATGAACAGAACGCAGCAATAATGCTGACTCGCCGTGTTAAGTCCCAAGAATGGTCGCCCAGCACGACTCAGGATTGTCAGGGAGCCACAATCACGCTGATTCGCGTCGCGGAAATCCCAGGAACGGTGTTTTGGCACGATTGAAGATTCTCAATCGGTTGTCTTCTAACGGGGCACTTACCCCAGTGAAAACACATTCCTGTAGGGACCCATGAGGAGGAAACTTGGAGTGTGGGGGTTTGCTACAACATCGTGCATGCATCTTGGGTGGTTTACCCTGGTCCTCTTCCTGCTTTCATTCCCCCTCTGCCGCCTTCCCTCCTCCTCCTCCTCCTCCTCCTCCTCCTCCTCCTTCTCCTCCTCGTCTTCCTCCTTCTCCTACTCCTCCCCCTTCCCCTCGGCAGCCCCCGCGCCTGCGAGGTCGCGCCCTCGTAGTGTCCGCGAGCCACCGAGAGAAGGGCGCCGAGAGACGTGAGAGAGAAACGCTGACAACAAAAACTCGTGAAGGGCTCAACGACGTTGACTGTCCCTCGACCGACGCTGGAGCGTCTACAATTTGCTTCAGATGTCCCCGGGAATCTCTGGACTTGCCCAGATGCACTCCCCGCACGGTGCCCTGCACCCAGGGGGGTCTTTCTCTCTCTTTTTTTTAAGACCTGGACTCGTGTGCCGCCCTGGCCGGCTTGTGGTCGCCCCGTCGCCGCCCGTCACCGCCTCGTCGCCGCAACACATAGCTCACACCACGTAGAGTGAGTGCACCACATAGATTGCTCCTCCCCCTCCTCCTCCTCCTCCTCCTCCTCCTCCTCCTCCTCCTCCTCCCTCCTCCTCCCTCCTCCTCCTCCTCCTCCTCCTCCTCCTCCTCCTCCTCCTCCTCCTCCTCCTCCTCCTCCTCCTCCACCCCCCTCCTTCTCCCCCTCACCCCCGTTGCTTGTCCCCCTCCTCCTCCTCCTCTTCTCCCTCTCCTCCTCCCTACCTCCTCTCTCCTCCTCCTCCTCTCTCCTCCTCCTCCTACCACCCCCTCCTTCTCCCCCTCCTTCCCTTGCTTGTCCCCCTCCTCCTCCTCTTCCTCCTCCTCCTCCTCCTACTCCTCCTTCTCCTCCTCCTCCTCCTCCTCCTCCTCCTCCTCCTCCCCGGCTTCCCCCGCGGGCGCCGGGCCTCGCGCGCGCACTCCTCCTCCGCGAGGAGCTCCGAGAGGGCGAACGCGCCGGCGCGCTGCAGCTCGGCCTCGCCGGCCCCACCCCGCCGGTGGAGTGAGAAAGCTGCGCAGCAGCAGCGCCCGAACTGGACAACGACGACGGCGAGGACGACGACGACGACGACGACGACGACGACGACGACGACGACGACGACGGTGACGACGACGACGACGACGACGACGACGACGACGACGACGACGACGGTGACGACGACGACGACGACGACGGCGACGACGACGACCGCAACGGCGACGACGACGACGACGAAGACGACGACGAAGACGACGGCGGCGGCGGCGACGACGACGACGACGAATTTGGTTGCCCCCTCTCCTCCAAACCCTGGCCTTGATATTGGCAAGTATTGCGGTCGAGGTGCTGGGCTCAGGATGTTTCGGGGCCCGCTTCTCCAGAAACGCCTGTGCAATGTGTAAGGGCTGATTCGCGACGCCGTGCCCCGGTCTCGCCCAGACGCGCGAACGGATTGCCTCTGCCGCGCCGCGACGTAAAACGCTCAATGTGCAAGCCGGGGGGTCATGCGAGGTGGTTCCTCAACGCTTGCCTTTCGTTTGAGGGAGAAGCTGGGAGCGGACTCCCCTCAACGCTCGTTGCAGTATACTGTGTTCCTTCAAAGGTGCCCCCTGGTCATCCCTATTCGCCTGCCCCTCCAGATCTCCTCGTCGAGCGAAGGATAATTCTAAATCATCCTACCACGAGTTACCTCCTAATTATTAATTGATGAGGTAGCTCGTGGTAGGTCTTCGCAAGAACGATTCGGGGCTACAGTAAGAGCTCGACCACAAGACACCTTCCACGAGAACCCCCAGGGTGTCCCTTGACTTTTGGTGTGGGGGCCTCACGCTTTCCATAGCAAAACCTTCGAAACCCAGGAAATCCAGGGCACCCTGGAGGCACGCAGGGTGTTTCTTGGCATGGGTTTTCACTTGATGAGGTCCGATTCAAGGGCCATTAAGCCAGGCTAGGTCAAATTAACTCCAGGAGTAAGCCTGCTTCAGCAGGATTCGGCGGGAAAGAATAAATCAGGCAGCGCTATGACGGGTTAGCCCAGGATTCGAGGCCCAACGGAGCCCCGAAAGAACACCCAAGAAGGCCCGGACGCGCCTGGTCTCGACACCTGGGACGGAGGCGCCATGTAGCTGCCCGCAACAGGCAAAGGGAGGAGGCCACCTCCCAGGAGCTGCATCCTAAGAGGAGGAGGAGGAAGACGGGGAGGGGGGAGGGGAGGAGGGGGAGGAGGAGGAGGAGGAGGAGGAGGAGGAGGAGGGAGGAGGAGGGAAAGGAGGAGGAGGAGGAGGAGGAGCAGGAGGAGGAGGAGGAGGAGGAGGGGGACCAGAGTGGTAAATCTGGGAGGCGCCAACGCTGCTGCAGCGCACCCCTCCCGCCCCACGAGCCCCCTCTCCGCACGGGTCCCTGCAGGTGGCCCCTCCCGCCCGCGGAAGGCGCCCCCCCCCCCTGGGTGGACGGGCGTCCCGCGGGGCTGCCGATCGGGGCTCTGCCCTCCACCCTGCCAGCTTTCGATCGGGCACGTCCTCCTGCAGGCTGATTTGGGAAGAAAAATAACAAATAGCCAAACCATTCTAAAAAATAGTCCAGTATCGTCGAAAAGTCATCCCCTGACTATTTTTGGACTATTTTTCGAATATTCCCCCTGTAGAGGGACATGCCCGACTTAATGCTAGCTGGCCGAAGCGCCAAGCGGTCGGATGACAAAGTATATTACATTCAAAGGCACGCCCCGCGATAGCCGCTGGCTTCAAAAAGATCTCCCCTCCACCCGTGTGAGCATCGCACACTTCCAGCGCCCTGGTCATACGATCGAATCGCTTGGGCTGGCCTACGAACACGTCTGGTGGTGCGACAAGGTGGAGGTAATCACTTTTGAAGGAAGAGCATGGGGGAGGAGCACGGATCGGAGCAGGAATAATTTACCAGCCCAACGAGCCAGAGGCGTGCTAAGATCTCCCGTGACAGGTCAACACTAATTCGCGCGCGCGTGGCGGCCCCTGGGGACCCCCCCTGGACGAAAAGCAGCCTGGGCGATGCCCGGGCGATGCCGGGGCGATGCCCAGGCGATGCCAGGGCGATGCCCGGGCCGGGCTGACTCCCCCAGGGCGCCGGGACGCCCCCTACACGGCCCAAGCGGCCCCGAGTCGCCGAAAGATCGCTCCAAGACGCTTACCATGGCCTCCAGATGGCCAAGAGGGCCTAATAAGGAAAAACCGTTCCATTTCCACTGGGAAACGTACATGTTTCGCGTGTGCGACGTTTGGGGTTCACAGAACTGCTCCGGAGGCATCCAACATCGTCCCCAGACGGCCCAACACGCCCCCAAGATGGCCCAAGCGAGCCCAAGAGGGCCCCAAGACAGACCAAGAGGGCACCAAGATGGCTAAAGAGGCGCCCAAGACGGGGCCCCAAAACGGCCCCAAGAGGAGCCCAAGAGCCAGGAACCGAAAAGTCCAGCCTTCAGCCCCAAGAAACCCCCAGGAGGCTCCAAGAGGCCCCCAAGAGGCCCCAAGGGGCCCCCAAGAGGCACTTTAAGAAGCCCCAAGAGGAACTCAAGAGGCCCCAAGAGGCCCCAACACGGCCCCCAAGAGGTGTCAAAACTGCCTCACAGAGGCCCCCGAGAGGCCAACCACGAGAGCCCAACCAGCATTCATGAGGCCTCCGACCCAACACCCAGGCACGGTGGCGGGATGGGCCGAAGACCAATAGATCCGCCGCCCCCTGTCGATTCATCGCAGGGGTGCCTGGCGTGCTAGACGATTTCGGTTTTGGTTTTGGTTCTTTTTCCAAAAGAACTCTACCAGTGGGTTTCGGCCCGTCCCGCCGACCGCCCCCCAAGACCCGCAAGACGCACACGCCATCGCCCAATCCCAATTCTTCCTCCAAGACGGCCCAACATGGCCTCCAGGATGGCCACGTTGGCCCAAGATGGCCTCCAAGATGGTCCAAGATGGCCTCCAAGTCCACCCAAGATGGTCCAAGACGGCCTCCGAGACGGCCCAAGAGGGTCCAAGATACCTCCAAGTTCGCCCAAGAAGCCTCCAAGACGGCCCAAGAGGCCTCCAAGAGGTTCTCCAGGAGGGCCCGAAGAGTCCAACATCGTCCACTTGACGATGGTTTTGGACGGATTTGGGTTTTTTGTCTTTTCGGCTTCCCGACGCTCCAAGACAGCCCAGGAGGCCTCCAAGAGCGCCCCAAGACGGCCCACGAGGCCTCCAGGAGCGCCCGAAGACGGCCCAAGAGGCCCCAAGACAGCCGCAAGAGGGCCCAAACACGGCCCAAAAGGCCTCCAAGACGCCCAAGATGGCCTCCAAGACGGCGCCAAGACGCCCCAAGAGGGCCCACGAGCCCTCCAAGACGTCCTCCAAGAAGGCTCGAAAGGGTCAAAATGGCCTCCAAGAAGACCTTCAAGATGCCCACGTGTTCCCCGAAGGCTTTCCAAACCGATTCGGGGAACACATGGTCCGATAGCTTGGCAGGTCTGGCCTCAACGTTCGGCCACATAGGCGCTTCCAAAAAGGCAGGGGGCGGCGGTGATTCGCCGTAGGCGTCCTAGATCCGCCACCCCCTGTCGATTCATCGCAGGGGTGCCTGGCATGCTGGATCCTTTCGGTTTTGGTTGTGGTTCTTTTTCCAAAAGAACTCCCCCTGGCGCTTCGGCCCGGCCCGTCCCGCCGGGGTCCCGGGAGGATCGCCCAGGACCCAAACGTCCACAGCAAATCCTCCGAGACGGCTCAAGATGGCGTCCAAGATGGCCCCAAGATGCCTCCAAGATGGCCCAAGACGGCCTAAGATGGCCTCAGGATGGCCCAAGTCGGCCCAAGAGGCCCCCCAGAGAGGCCTCCAAGACGGCCCAAGAGGTCTCCAAGAGGTCCTCCAGGAGGGCCCGAAGAGGACAAAATCATTGATTGTCCTTAGGTTTTTGAAGGATTTTGGCACTTACCTCTTCTCGGCATTCCGACGGCTCAAGACGGCCCAAGAGGCCCCCAAGATCGCCCAAGAGGCCCCCAAGAGGGCCCCATGACGGCCCAAGTGGCCTCCAAGACGGCCCCAAGAATGCCCCAAGACGGCCCAAGAGGCCTCCAACACGCCCAAGATGGCCTCCAAGACGCCCAAGATGGCCTCCAAGACGGCCCCGAAGCGCCCCAAGAGGGCCCCCAGTCGGCCCAGAAAGGCCCCCAAGACGGCTCCCGACGGCGTCAGACGTGCCAGGAACCCACCAAGATGGCCGAAGTTGGCTCGAAGCTGGCCCAAGAGGCCCCCAAGAGGGCCTCCAGGGAGGCCCGAAGAGGCCAAAATCATTGATGTTCCTAAAAGTTTTGGACGGATTTTGACATTTCCTTCTTTTCGGCCTTCCGACGGCCCGAGACGGCCCAAGAGCCTCCAAAGATCGCCGAAAGATCGCCCAGGAGGCCTCCAAAATGGCCCCAGAACGACCCAAGAGGGCCCCAAGACGGCCCCAAGAGGCCCCCAAGACGGCACAGGAGGCCTTTAAGACGCCCAAGATGGCCTCCAAGACGGCCCTGGAGCATTCCAAGAGGGCCCAAAGTCGGCCCATAGAGGACCCCCAAACGGCTTCCGGCGCGCTCAAGATGGCCTACAAGACGGTCCAAGAGCCCTCCAAGACGTCCTCCAAGAAGGCCCGAAAGGTCAAAATGGCCTCCAGACGGCCAAGATGACCTGCAAGATGCCCACTTGTTCCCCGAAGGCTTTCCAAACCGATTCGGGGAACACATGGTCCGATAGCGTGGCAGGTCTGGCCTCAACGTTCGGTCACATAGGCGCTTCCAAAAAGGCAGGGGGCGGCGGTGATTCGCCGTAGGCGTCCTAGATCCGCCGCCCCCTTTTGATTTATCAAAGGGGTGCCTGGCGTGCCGGATTATATGGCTTTTGGTTTTGGTTCTTTTTCCAAAAGAACTCCCCCTGGGGCTTCGTCACGTCCCGCCCGCCATCCGGAAGAGATAGTTGCAAACGGTTTTCCTGCCCCAGACGGCCCCAAGAT